GTGAATTTATCCAATGGCTCTCATCTCCCACTGTGCAAAGATCTGTCTCACAGGTGTTACTGTCCTATATTTCTAGGGTGCAACAGGAAGCCATGAGATAGAGTCCAGAGGAATCTTCAGGCTGTGCCTGTGTAGCATCTATGGCCAAGCTGGCAGAAGAGGAAGTAAGTGCCCATAGCTAGGGAGCAAGGTGAGGCCAAGAGGTCCCGGCGTCATATGAAAGGTGTCTGATATACGAAGCTGGGAGGACTTGAGGAAAAGATGGGAAGATCCAGCATGTATTGTAAGAATGCCAGGAGTAGAGACAGTAAAGGAGAAATATAAAAAAAGGAATGTCTATGGTTTTTCAAGATTTGATGAAAAAATATAGAATCTCAGATTAAATACCCACTGAGTAGAATATGTAAGAAAATACATGTGCATATACATGACAATTTTAATAACATGATCTAAAATGATGACTTAATGGACATGCACAGAAACTGTTGAAGTCAGAATATCATCTCTACCACAATTCCATAAAAAAAGATAACTTGAAAATCTCCCTATGTTTGTAGATTAAGAAATAAACATCTAAATAACCCACAGGACAAATTAATTAGAAATGATTTTGAACTCAATGATATTAAAATAGTGCTTATTAAAATGCATGTCATGCAGCTAAAGCAGTATTTTGGAAAACGTTTTTAGCTTCAAATGCATTTGAACTATGCAAAGTCCAAATATGTAATTCAACTGTTTTGTCATATCTTTCATAGTTAAACTATTAAATTACAAAAATATACCATTTACAATAGCACTAAAAATATAAAATACTTAGAAATTAAAGAAACAGAAAACTCTGAAACATTCTGAGAAATTAAAGCCTTGAATAAACAGACCCATATATGAATAAGTGGTTGGTATATGTATTTGCAGATATTACACTGAAAGATTGCCAGGGAAAGAATGGACTATTCAATAAATAATGTGGGGACAATTTGTTATGTATATGGAAAAAGATAAAATCATATCCTATAAATAGAAAACAACCCCAGGATTAATAGTCCTCAATGCAAAAGAACTAAACTATAAAACTTTTTTTTTTAATGTAGGAGAACATTTTTATAATCCCAGGGAAGGAGAAGATTTCTTCAACAAGATGCAAAAGACAAATTAACAAGGCAAAGATGGAAAGTTTGGGATTATAATGAAAAAAATATTATACATTAAGGCACTAATAACTAAAGAAAAAGATAAACCGAAGATTGGAATAAACTATTTGCCACACATTTAAATGGCAGAAGCTCAGTATTCAAATATACAAAGAGCTCTTCATTAATTAGCAACAAAAAGGCAAAGGTCACCACAGGTAAATCGGAAAAGAATTGGTGTAATTCACTCACAGGGAAATACAAACATCAATTAAAATATGAAAAGATTCAGAAACTCACTAGTCAAAACAAGATCCTATTTCACATCCGTTAACACCTAAGCCCGCCAAGTTTTGCTGAGGATATAGGGAAACAGGTCCTTTGCCACACTGTTAGTACTCTTTTGGAGTCAGTTTGACAGTTTCTAATAAAATTTAGAATATGCTTCTCATAACCCTTGTGAATTCCACCGAGGAGTTCCAAATCTAGTTGTCACAATGCTACCTATACAAAGATATACCTCCCAACTCTAAAATGAAAATGTGGAAACAAATTTCCCATGTTTAGGGGGATAGAAAAATAAACTGTGTTTTATATAATTGGATATTATGCAGCAGCTATCACATGTATATGTATATAAATACATCACATCTATATTTATCAACATGGAAAATTCCAATAACAGAATACTGAGTGAGAAAGGGAAGCTCCAGTATGTATAATATGAAAGCATTTATTACATTTGAAGGACCACAAAATGATAATATTTACTTTTTATGGTGATTAACAGGAACACACACATGCACACTGCATATAAATACAAAACCACGCATGGAGAAAGGGGCAAAGAATGTGTGTATGACTTTCTGTATTTATATATTGTTTTTTTTTAAAGGGAAAGATGTGAGAACAAACAGGTCAGAGCTTATTAATACTTATCTCGTGAACAGATAAATTTGTGCCTGTTACACTGCTTTTTGCTTGTTTGAAATGTTTCCTAATTCAACTTAATCTTTTAAATTTAAAAACAAAATCAGTTGAGGAAGCATGTTCCCCAAATGCAGCTTTTATTAGGCTCCGGATATTTGCTTGCCATATTTCTGCTTTGTCTGGAATTTTGAGGCAAAAAGAGAAAGGATAAGCCATATCTCAAACCATAAACCTCACCTTCTCCAGATACCAGAGAGAAGGCTCTACTGCCAGTCCTATTGCTTGAGGCAACAGAAAAGTGCCTCCTAGTTCCCAGTTGATGAACTGGGCTAGGGGACAGTTTTAAAACCCTGTATGTGCAGACATCCAGGCCTGGAACTGGATGCCTGCAGCAAAGCAACAGAGGGATTTCACTAAGGCTGCTTCAGAACAAATTGTGTGGGAGGACTGTTCCACCCTGTCTGAACTCAGAATGTGGGGTCAACAACAAACATGACTATCTCTGTTTTGAGAAATTGCTAAAATAAAATTGCAGAAATTTAAGAGCAAACTGTCCCGAACTAATGCAGTACAAAGATGATAAATGTGATGGCCCAAAGGCTAAATTTAGCCCTCACTTATACATCATTTGGCCCTGTGTTTGTTTAGTCCTTTTATAAAATACACAGCATGTTTTGTACAGTTTTGATTTATTTGCTAACATCTAGATTTTGAGATATTTCTAATGGAAACTCCCAGCTTCTCTCCTAAAAAAGCAGCGATCCTGGCACTGCCGGGCCTGAATTCTAGAATGCCAAGTATTGGTTGGCCCTGAAGCCTGTCCCCTACCCATGGCCTCACTCACTACCTCACCTGATGGCCCCACTAAGGGTTTCAACTCCCTCATCATACAAGTGAGAAAATAGAGGCTCAGAGTGGTCAAGTGTTTCCCCCTTTCCAGAGTCACCCTGCAGAGAGAGCCATGTGGGTACAGGCTTGACCAGTTACCTATTAACTTGTAATTCCTTTTCTCCACAAGATGAAGGCACATTTCATGGTTTGTAATGACATTTCCTGTATAATTCAGCAGGTGCAATGGAAATGACAATTTTTATAAATTTTAGCAAAGACTTGCTTCAAGTGATAAACATAATACAAATCAATTAATTGTAATATCAGCAAAAAGTCACCAAGATTAGACCAAACTCAAGACAAAAATGTTTATATGTAAAAAAATAATATGGAAATATGACAATATAATTAAAAATTGGTATATTAGAGGTTGCATGATCACAGAGCCATCACTTTTTCAGGCTGATCTTTACACGTTGCAATTCATCCCCCTTTTCTCCACCCTTCCCAACCTCTCCCCTTTTTTGGAGTCTAGAAGGATGTGCAAATCTTGCTCTGGAACTCTTACCCAGGTACACTTCCTTTAGTTTTTTTTTTGCCTGTTAGATTATTTGTTCCTGGATTAAAGCTGGTAGACAATCTGCAGGGACTTGGATGTGTCACTGTAGCACACAGCTGCCTGGACTGGCATTCCTAGTCTATGTAAAATACATTTTTGTGAAAGCCAGCTACACAAAGAGATTGCAAGGACTGAAAAATCTTTAGAATGTAAGACACAAAATAACCTAAATGCAGATCAATAGGGGAAGGATTCAATTAACTTTGGCATATTCATATTGTGGGAAACTTTGCAAAAGGGCAAAAAGAAAAAAGGAAGATCTATTTAAACTACTGACATGGACAGTTCACTAGGTTGCAAAAGGGTATATACAGACAGGTATCTGTTATGTTAAAAAACATAAAAACACATATTGCTTGTGGGTCCATATATGTATATGTAAATGCATTGAAAACGTCTGGAAAGAAACATGAAGTAGTGAGAGTGGATTGCCTTTAGGCAGATAGGAGAGGTATAGAGGGGCTCAAAGATGGTTTTAGCTTTATCTGTAATGTCTAATTTAAAAGAAAAACACTTAGATTACATGTAGCCATAGGTTCTAAAAATCTTTTCATGTAACATATTTATATGACTCTTAATTTCCAACCATAATCTCAAACACAAAATTGCAAAACCTCTGCTCATCCTTGGAAATACAACGAATGCTGTGTTTATTACCCAAATTAATATTTCAAGTGTAAAAATCACGGGTGGTATCTGAAAAGCTAAACTTTGCTTTCAAAAGTTACAGTCAGTAAGTGAACTTAAGGAGTCATACAGCTTTGTGGACATCCAATTTATCTTTAATTGCAAAGAACAGGAAATACAAAGTGGATTTAAATGGCCCCAGGATCTCTCAAATTCCGAATAAAAATTCAAGTGACAGATTATTTAATTTATCCCAGTTTAGTTTCGATTTCTATGGTGCTATTAACTTTTCAGTAACAGCATTTGCTTTTCCCAGCAACACCGACGGAACACGGAGGGCAAGTTTCGGTAAGAAAGAAAGGGAGCCCCAGAGAGGTCAGAGTTCAGTGTGAGGTGACGTCTAGGAAATGTCAGGGCTGGGACTCCCACTCAGGTTTCCACTGCCAGCTCTCTGTGCTCTCCTCCAGGCCACGCTGTGGGCTCTGATGCCCAAAGTGACATCGCGTGTGCCTACAGGGAGGTCTCACGTATTCATCCCTGGCCATTCCCTCCCTCTCTCTCATTTTTCTAATCTATCAGCTTCATCATCATTATCTACCTCTGGATACCTACCATTTACCATCTATCACCATCACCCATCACCAGTACCCTTGTCTCCTAGGAACCTCCCCGCCTCTACCTCTAGCAGAGCGCATTCCACCTGTTCCCCGACATGCGCGCTCGCTGGCCTCCGCACGCGGTCTGCCCGCAGCCCGCAGCCGGCGCGCACTCCAGGACGGCGCCCCTGCGGGTGGGCAGGCGTGCCCCGGGGATAGGGGGTGGGCGGCCGCGGGCCCGAGGTCGCGCCGCTCTGCACTCACCTTGCCCGCGGCGGGCACGGCCGCCAGGAACACCAGCAGGAGCGCTGGGGGCCTCAGCGCCGCCCCGGGGCGCATGGTGGGCGCCCGCTCGGAGCCCCGGCGCGTCCAGGGACCCGCAGGCTCCCCGGCCACCCGTCCCTTGCGTGGCACGGGCTGGGGAGCCCGGCTGTGGAGCTCGCCTGGCCAGCCCGCCCGGGGCGGGTTTTGTAGGGCTCAGCAGCGCGGTTCGTCCCTCCCCACTGAGGCTGGAGGGTGGCTGCAAGGGAGGGGAGAAGCGGCTCCGGTCCCGCCCTCGGCCCCCTCCCCTCCAGCTCACCAGGCACTGTCCCTGCGACCCGGGCCTCGTGCCCAGGCGGCGAGAGAAGGCTGCGCGCCTGCGGGGCAGGTGAGCGCGCCTGCAGGGTGAGGGGTCACGGGGGCGATGCCGCCACGGCCCCGAGGCCTAGGCGGGGCCGGGGGTGCGCAGGGGCCGCCGGCGGAGCAGGGCGGAGGGAGTGGCCAGCGGCCGTGCCCAGATTAAGCTGCGGCGCGCCGGGCTTCGGCACTCCGGCTGCCCCGCTCGCTCCGCGCTCCCGCCGCCGGGCCACTCGCCGCTTTCCGCTCCCGAACCCGCCTCCAACTTGCCGCCCGACTCGCTGAAGAGGCAGCTGGGTCACGCGTGTACTGCGGCGCAGGGGAGCCGGGAGGTGGGCACCGCGCCGGCGGGCGACCAGGGCGGCTCCCGGCGCTGCCGGCGTCCCCGCGAGGTAAGGCGCCCCGCGACCCAGGCTGGGCAGCTGCTGCCCTGGGGCCCGGGCACCCGCCTGGGAGGAGGGGGACAGCGGGCGCGGCGCGGGAGTCGCGGCCCTGGGGTCACCAGAGGAGAGGCTTGTGTGGCTCCCGGCTGGTCTGCCTGCGCTTGAACTGGGCGCTGTGTGTTTGGATTCATTTGGAGGCTCCGGTTACCAGCCTGGCAGTCTGGGGACTTCGAAATGCCAAGAGCAGGAGGCAGCTGAGGAGAAAGAGAAAGCCCGTCCTATTCTCTGCTGGGCTGAACGGGCTTTTCAGGCTAAATCTTATCTGCGGAAATGCCGGGGAAACCAAGAGCCAACTTTGCCCGGGGTGCCTCTCCCCTGAGTGCGCCCTCCGAGGGGCCGGCCCTGGATGCCGACCCGTCGTATCTGGCTTGGGCACTGTCTTCAGAGCTCGGTTCATGCCCTTCTTGTGTCACTGACCACATGGGCTCTGGTGAAGCATTTAGACCCCTTTTGAGAATAATGTCCTTAAATACACACAGTACAATTAAAACAGAATCAGTTTTACTAGAATACAATTATGTAAGTATTAGAGTCATGATGTAGTGACAGATGTGCATCGTGATTATGGCCTTAAACACCTGATCTAACAGCAGATCTATTAACTATGAATTCGAAGTAGTGATGATTGTAGAACTGAAATGTGGCCTGGAAATACAGGTAGGGGCAAACTCTCAGGAGATGCCAATAGTATTGAGGTTCATTGCCTATATTCATAGTTGAAGGAAATGTTGACCTTCCAGGAAAGGTTGGTGAAAATAGATATGTAATTTTTGTTTTCATGCAAGCCCACAGACCACCTGAATTCCATGTCCAGTTTAAGAACCCCTGCTTGGAGCAATGGTTCTGACCTCTGCAGTAATCGGCCATCAAACTTCAAGTGTGAAATATGTGGTTTGGTCACTGATTGTGGAGAACCACTTATCTGCGATTAGAATGGGGTCTATTAGTATATTAGACCCATGTGGCTATGTAGGTAGGCAGAACCCTGATAGTGAATGATTGATGACACCCCCTTCCTTTTTTTTTTTTTTTTTTTTTTTTTTTGCTAGAGTGAATTCCTGTTTTTTATGCCAGTGATTGTCAACTATGACTGTGCATTAGCATCTACTAAAGAGCCTCTAAAAATACTGATAGCCAGTCCTTCCCCAACCAGACTCTCCAGCAGTAAGATAACCTTTCAGTGTGTTTTAAAGCTCCATGAAGGTTTCTATTTGCACCCAGTTTGAGAGCCACTGTTTTACACGCATATCTCACCTGAATTGAATTAGGGTCTCTTCTTAGTAGAATAATAAAAAGAACATTTATTAAGACTTAAGTGTGCCCAGGCCATAGATGTTGCTGTGCTGTACATAGTAGCTTCTTTCGGTTGACAGGGAACTTTCTTCTGCCATCCTTGTTAGGATATTAGTTGCTCTGTTTTTGAGATAACTGTGTCCAAGAATTTCAAAAGGCATATGATAATCTTGCATGAACTGACATTATTTCTTGGGAAAAAACAGAACAAACACTTCAAGGTAGTGTTTGATGTTCCTTTTTGCTGAATTCCAGAAGATTTCTCAATTTGGGTTTTAATTACCCTTTCCTGTAACCAAGTCATTTTCACAGAATCCCAGACTTGGCTTCATCAACTTTGAAATGTGAGGCAGGAGTCAACTGCAAGTCACTTCTGATGCCCCACCAGAGCAGGAAAGAAACTGGCGATGTAATACTCTAAGAAGGAAGCAGTGGTTAAGCGCTTGGTCTCTGGAACAGACTGGGATTTTGAATCCTTTCCACAGTGTGACCTAACCTCTTTGGGCTGGGGTCTGCGCTTCTGTGAAATGGGTCAGAATCACGGTAGCCACCCCTTGGAGTTGTAGGAATTGAATGAAATCATCCATCAGAAGCCATTTCTCCGTAGTCTTCACAAAATAATCACACATTGGGATCTGAGCGTCCATTTGCATGAAGGTGGACTTGAGATGTGGTGCACAAGATAGAGAGCTCTTCTCAGATCAGTGGTAAAGGGGCAAGGGGCAGGCTCATCCCACTGGCTCCCTTGAGGTCAACAGACTGCTAAGGCACCTAGAACCTTGGAAGCTGGCTCACCTAGAGAGCTGGTGAGGAATGCAGACTCTCAGGCACCGCTCCTGATGCACTGAATTGGAGCCTGCATTCAAGTGACTCATCCACACATTAAACTTTGAGAAGTGGCTTGTCTAAAAGTCAGATTTAACCACCCACTCCTCACCTCCCCACCACATCCATACACTCTCCTTTTGAGCAGTGTCTGGTATGTCCACTAGGTAGTGTCAATTAACCAGAATTCTTAGTTTTTAAAAAATAGTCTTGGGATCAAGAGAATTGATTTTTCACAGTTGGTTCTTAAATGTGACCAAGAAGAAAGAAAGTGGGGAGCATTCTTTTTGTATGTAAAAGGTCACAGAGATCTTTACTTTTGACTTTGATGCTAGATAAGGGTTTTGAACAAAATGAAGTGGTCATTGCCTTTAACAAGACTTTTATTACTGTTCTTACCCCTTTTTTGTAGCCACAATATCATGTCTGTTCTCTGCATAGTGCTTAAACATATAGTGTTTGCTTGCCTATATTTGAGTGTAAGCCCCTTTAGAGCAGGGGCCTTTTTGGTGTTCTTTGCTATTGCTGAGTGGATGAATGAAGGAGAATGATTTGACAGAGTCTCTCAGGATTCACACCCAGGTCTGTTTTCTTCCAAAGTTCATGATCTTTTATAGCCTGCAGTGTATAGGGATGTGCCTCTGATTTTGAGGAGATTCCCGTAGCTCCTTCTTCAGTCTTCTTTTTACTTTATCTCCCTCCTTAATCATCCCTTTTCTTTTAAGAAACCCCTCACCATCTCTTTTCAGTGCCTCTAAAAAGATAGACTCTTAAGTTCTTTTAGAATCTCACAGCCATCATCAACTCATGTCAGTTCTTGCTATTGCATCTCTGGATTCTTCACTGCTTTTCCAGGCTCATGTCCCCAGCATGTGTCTGTACTTCACATCTGTGGATCACAGCAGCTTAGCTAGTCCCTGAAAGGTCTCTCCTCTGAAATCCATCTACTACCATATTGCCAGAATTCCACTTAAAATCGCCCATTGTATCAGAAAGGGCACATCACTTTTGGGGCAGTTACAAACAATCTCCAAATTTCGGAGACTTATAGTAACAAGATTTTTTTCCTCCATTTACACTACATGTTTTTCACTGGGTGTGGGGAGGTGGGAAAGGGGAGGGGGCTCTGCTTGTCATAGCCACTCAGGAACCTCCTGGAATTTCCACTCCACGTGTCCTTTTCTGATCACTTCAGAAGAGGAGAACAATGTGTCAAATAAAAAACTGTTCTAAAACTATTCAAAAAGCTTCCACCTGGATGTGACACATAGCATTTCTACTCACACTGTGTTGGCCAAGGTGGTCATGTGACCACATTTAATTTTGTAAGTGATGGGGAAACAAAATCTACCACATCCCTGGAAAGAGAGCTGGAAATACTTGGTTAGTAATGCTCATCACCTGCATCCTGTCACTTGCTTATTTTAAAACGTCCAGAACCTCTTCTTTGTCTAATTTACAGCTAGTGTCACACTTCTTAGTACAGAATTGGGTGGTCCAATATAAGCTTTTAAAATAAAAGTCCCCTGGGCACCCATACTTACATGTTCACTGTGCACACCTCCTTACCTCATGCTTTTGCACTGCTGCTCTCTCGGCCTTCAGGAACCTCCCCTTTGGTCTATCTAGTGTGACTACCTGTGTTTTGAGATCTAGGTCAAAGATCAAAGATTATGGTCTTTGTGAAGATCTTTGTTCAGACCTTTTATTATATAGGAAAGAAACAGCATAATGTATTTTTTTGTGTGTAGTAGATTAGTTGGCATCTTCCAGAATTTTATGTTAATGGAATCATGGAGTAGGTACCCTTTTGGTCTGTCCTCTTTGACTCAGCAGAACGATATTGAGATCCATCCATATTGTGTGTGTCAGCACTTTATTCCTACTGCTGAGTACTTTTCCATTGTGTGGATATCATTTCAAAAGAATCCATTTACCTGTTGTTGGACATTTGATTTGTTTCCATTTTGGGGTCATTACAAATAAGGCTGCTATGAATATTTTTGTACAAGGCTTTGTGTGGACATGTACTTCCCTTTCTCTTGAATAAACACCTAGGAGTGAAATGGCTGAGCCATAGGGCAGATGTATGTTTAGTTACAAAATAAATAGTTAGCCAAGGCAGTTGTGTCATTCTATATTCTCACTGGCAACAGATGAGCGTTCCAGTTCCTCCATGTATTTGTGGTGCATTCTTTTGGTATTGTCAGTCTTTTAAATTTTTGCCATTCCAGTGCTTATACAGTGGTAGGTCAATATGCTTTTTCTTTTCTCTGATAACCTATGATGTTGAACATCTTTTCATGTATTTATTAACCATTCATAAAACCTCTCTTGTAAAGTACCTAAACCTATTCTCCATTTTAAAAAATGGATTGATTGTCTCTTATGTTGAATTATAATAGTTATTTATATATTCTGGGTACAAGATCCTTGCCAGATGTATTTATTTTTATTTATTTATTTTTTTAGGAGAGCAAGGTACAGGCTTTTATTTATAAATAAAGTGAGAGAACAGGGCTCCTGGCTCACGCCAGGAGGGGACAAGAGAGTCCCCAGATGTATTTATGATGAGTATTTTCTCCCATTGCATAACTTGTCTTTTCATTTTCTTATTGGTGTCTTTTGAAAAACTAATGTTCTTATTTTGATGAAGCCCAGTTTAGTGCTATTTTCTTTTATGGTTTGTGTTTTTATTGTTACCTGAGAAATTTTCACTGATGCTAAAGTTATAAAGATATCACCTGTGTTTTCTTCTTTTATAGTATTATTGCATTTAGGTCAGTGAACCATTTTGAGTTAATTTGGGGGTGTGGTGTGAGGTAATAATC